TTTTGAATTTTCAAGGATAGGCATTTACTTTTCATCTCAACATATATATTGTCACTTGCGGCAGATGCTTTTAGGAATGCATTTAGAGAAAATGGTATAGAAGTCTCAATTTACCAAGTATTTGAGCCAGGGAGCGATAATGAAAAACATTCAAGTGGTCATCAAGATGCATCCGATTCCGTCAGTACGGTACACCGTACAGATTGAAGGGGATGCGTTAGCGGAAGCTAAATTATTACCGGTAGCTAAAGGTAGACATATTGTTATTAATAATATTTTATAATTTATTCAAATTTTTGGGTGACTACTCGTTCCCTTTCAAGACTAACGGAAGGAAGGATGGCAAAAATGCAAATCAAGGTTGTATACCAGCACAGTGGCGGATTCAACGTGGTGGGGGTGGGGATTTTTTTTTTAAATGGAAAAACAAGGAATATATTGATCAAATTTAAGTCTGAGAGTGTCTTTGCGGCCATAAGAGATGCCATCTAAGATGGTCTAGACTCAACATCAGTGAAAGCCCCTCCCTAGGCCCCCTCAATTTCGAATTCCTGGATCCGCCACTGCAGCATATGTACAACATAGCAGGAAACCAAACCAGTACGAATTAATATTTAGAAGATAGCTTATCACTTACAGTTTTACTTCAGTATAATAATTTCACTTAGACTTATGACTTTTTATTGATTATTTAATACGCCACATACAGTATATCACTTTTGACAAAAAAAAATGACTTGTATCTTATAGGCTTGTAAACAAATATAATTTTGGTCTTTTTGTCTTTAATGATACTGATACTGATAATTCTTTATTCGACATAAAAAGTACATGTTAAGCAAATTGCTTTCCTTGGCAATACGTCATAATTTAAGACATATAAATATGTTAAGACTATCCATTACTATTATTACATTATTATAAAACTTTAAGACAAAAAAAATAAATAAATAAAAAATATAAGACGGACTAAAAGCTGTCTCTTATACAATCCGCGAAAGTCGTGGCAGTTGTGGTTCGCAGACGAATCGGAGAGCCTTTCCGATTGCGCAGGGCAGCAGCAATGCACCCTGATTCGTCTGCGTCTGCAACGCAATCGGAAAAGTTGAACCAGGTTCAACCTTCCCGACAGCTGTCGGCGACTGCCGCCGATAGGGTGAGCCGTTATATGGAAACCGAGCTTTACCCTGACTATACATAATGGGATGATTGGGGTCCCTCAGTGAGCGGGGTCATGGGAAGAGAACGTAAGGTTTGCTTGTTCCTTCGCTGGAAGACTATTTAGACGTGGGGGGGGGTGGTTTGCGGTAGTCTTGGGGTTCTCCTAACTTCGGAAAGTTTTGTTTTTCTAGATGCTGAAAAATGTACTGACGTGCCTTACGAGACTTCTATTAATGAATGAGTACACTGAATTAATAGTTCTCCCCCATTTTACCATGGACGGTGGCTATTGAGACGATCAACAATGACTCGAATTTTAGCGCAATCCACGATGGCGGACACACACTTAGTTTCATATGTAATGATACAGATTGTGATACTTCAAAGGGATTAGCTAGCATATTAGACATGTACGAAATGTATTCAGTTGATGCATTCATTGGCCCAGGATGCAGTGTCATCTGCGAACCAGGCGGTTACCTTGCAAACCACTGAAGACACCAATGGTCTCGTGGTCATGTTCAAGCAGCGCTCTGTCTGACAAAAATCAGTACCCTAACTTTGCCAGGTCAACTGCCCCCACCGAAAAAATGTCGCCGTTCTTTGTAAAAATCATGAAACATTTTGAATTTTTAAGGGTAGGCATTTACTTTTCATCTCAACATATATGGTCACTTGCGGCAGATGCTTTTAGGAATGCATTTAGAGAAAATGGTACAGAAGTCTCAATTTACCAAGTATTTGAGCCAGGGAGCGATAATGAAAAACATTCAAGATGCATCCGATTCCGTCAGTACGGTACAGATTGAATGGAATGCGTTAGCGGAAGCTAAATTATTAGCTAAAGGTAGACATATTGTTATTAATAATATTTTATAATTTATTCAAATTTTTGGGTGACTACTCGTTCCCTTTCAAGACTAACGGAAGGAAGGATGGCAAAAATGCAAATCAAAGTTGTATACCAGCACAGTGGCGGATTCAACGTGGTGGGGGTGGGGATTTTTTCGAAATTATTTTTTTAAAATGGAAAAACAAAGAATATATTGATCAAATTTAGGTCTGAGAGTGTCATTTGCGGCCATAAGAGCCATCTAAGATGGTCTAGCCTCAACATCAATGAAAGCCCCTCTCTAGCCCCCCTCAATTTCGAATTGAGGGGGGATCCGCCACTGCAGCATACGTACAACAAGGCAGGAAACCAAACCAGTACGAATTAATATTTAGAAGATAGCTTATCACTTACAGTTTTACTTCAGTATAATAATTTCACTTAGATTTATGACTTTTTATTGATTATTTAATACGCCACTTACAGTATATCAATTTCACTTTTGACAAAAAAAATGATTATCTTATAGGCTTGTAAACAAATATAATTTTGGTCTTTTTGTTTTTACTGATACTGATACTGATAATTCTTTATTCGACATAAAAAAATACATGTTAAGCAAATTGCTTTCCTTGGCAATACGTCATAATTTAAGACATATAAATATCTGTCTCTTATACATTAAAATAATGTTTTTGCTTTGGTGTAATTTTGGAATAACAAAATATAATAAAATTACATATGCCTTTCAATAAGGTTATAAGAGTCAACGCAGATGTATAGCCTATCCTCCCTATGATTGATTTTGTATGAACCATACATTGTGACAAATTATAATAATAATAAAAGAATTCAACAGTGTACCGTACGTTATCGCACAGCAGATTTATTTACAGTCCCTCTTTGATTAATACTTAGACAATGCAAAAAGTTTATTTTGTCTATATATTTTTGTCTTTGGTTTAGGCTGGTGGCATTTCTAAAGAAAGAGTTGCACTTCGCCAGACCACCAGGCACTGCTATTAGTATTACTTTATATTGGCGAACGGTGCGAAGAGGTCTGGATCCGCGCCTGCCTCTAGGTGCCCGGAAATTACACTCTCATCCCTTATTACAACAATACAATACAACACTTATTTTTCTTAATACAATTTGGGGGGGGGGGGCGAACGCACACTCTGCATCCGCCCAAGTATTTTAAAGATGTGTTAGTGTTTTTTTAAACAACTTACGTCCTTCAACCATCAAGTATTTCAGTTGAAGATAATCTTTGTAAACCATATTACAATGCAAAACATTATGATCAGTTATTATAATGATGTTATTTAACCAAGGACTGTTAAGATTTGTATAGCTCCATGTAATAACGAAAAGAAATTAAGCCTATTTTTAAGCCTGGTAAAAGAGACACTCTGTGTCGTCATGAGTTCCGTACATTGTTCAAACAATATAATTGGTTTTTTTTTATAGGCCCAACTGAAATGGTGGTTTAACGCTACAGTCATAAGATCGTCACGTTCTTTATTCTATAAGCCTGCCGAGATTGGTTGATGCAAGTAAGGGTAAGAAAGATCAACAACCAAGCCCCAGGTTAAAAAAAAAAGACGAGGCTTAGGGCGTATATATTTTAGAGCTATTCCATGGTCCTCCTTGCGTTGGAATCATCAAGGCATTTCAGGTTCCCTCATCCACGGCAGCCGCTATGTTCTACAACTGTGGAAACAACCCATACACTTTTCGATATTGTGCATAGATGAGGCTATGAACCATTGTGTGAATAAATCCAATGATTTAACGTCCCATACGAAGGGCACAGGGAAAAGCAGAATTGGTCCCGTACAGGCTATCATTGGTTTCTCTCGCTCTAAATTCCGCCGTCTTGGAAGGTTGAAATGAACAGTAGGCCTATTCATGATATTGTAAAATTCATTGTTTTTTGTGGTTGTTAATTGATTAAAAAAAAAAAAAAAAAAAAAATTTGTAGCCATATTATTTTGTTCAGGCTCATGTTAGGGCCGAGGGCCCCTTCAATTTGGCGCCCCGGGGCTCATGACCTGTTCTGCACCCTAGTTATCCAGTTACAGCTCTCGTTTTGTCACAACATGGTTAGGCCTATTTATGGTTCCGTGGTTCGTTGCAAAGCATGAGTTGCAAAGGAACAGAGTAATTGAATATTAGGCGTATTTGTGGTTAGTGTTCTTCTATACGGTTCCTGGCAACACTCAGAACCGCATGACCAGTGGTTCCAGAAATTTGGCATCATCATGACAGTGGGGTTCTATAGCAAGGGGCCGACGCGATGGTCAGGATTCTGGAATAAAAATTCCTGGTAGGTTCATGGAGAGAGTTTTTATGGCTGAGATTTGGATAGGCAAATACATTTGGGGGTGGGTGGGGGGTGAGGGAAAGTGGTCCAGATCTGGCATGGGGATTTATTGTCCCCGCTGGTGGACTAAAAGCATCTGCATCAGAGGAGAACAGAGCCTTCAGTAGCTCAGGAAAGGTCAATTGGAATGAGGAGCCCACTCTCACACTCATGCTCCAGCTCCAAAAACAAAAAGGAGCAGTGCACACCCCTGGTGAAATAGTTGTCATCGTAATAAAGCATTAATTGAAACCATTAATAGTAAAATGTGTCTAAGACCCCATTATTTAAAAAAAAAAAAAAAAAAAAATTAGTTTATCATCCGCTACCTCATCATTTTTGGAGAAATTGGAGATTTTTTTTTGGTTTTTTTTTGTCATCACTATGTATTTACTTTACATGGATCCGGGGTTATTTGAAAAAAAAACCCCAAAAAATCCCTCCCTCCCTCATCAGTTATACTTTATAGGGTGTTAAACTAATAGTTTTTATGGGGCCTAATCTAAGACTAGGAAGTACTTCTGGTGAATTCTTGGCGATGAACAGCGCTGTCGCGATGAAGTATTGCGTCATTGTGGATCATGACGTAATTATAAATATTCATAACAAAAAATCACATGACAGAAGTCACGAGATAACAATGACCACATGCTTCACACCCGGAAACTCATTGTTACGAGCCATACTATAAAGTCACCAGAAGCCCGTTGAGAGGGTCAGTACAAAAAAATAGCAGGCAGATTATCGTTTGTCTTTCATCACCTTGTACTTTATAGGCTGTCCGGCTGTTCTTGTGTGTAAGTTGTTTAATATTATTCTTCAAGACTTACTATTAGTATTAGGCTATATAAACATTTATTGCCGGTGAAAATAAGTTAGGCCTAGGGCCCGGGGCCTGAACAACCGACAGTGCAATTTTGAGAGTGAGTGAGGAGGTACCCAGGTACCGGGCCCGGTTCCCGGCAGGTGATCATGTCGTCTAATGTAAGGCAGCCTCATTTTGTTAATAATTAAATATTATTAATGAAACTGGTGCTCCAGCGATAGAACTAGAGAATATTATTGTTTCCCCTTTCTTCACTAAATTATAACAACGATTTACTATCACTTGCATCTCGGCGACCTAGCATGCATACCATTTTTCAACAAGCTAAAGAAGTATTTTGATTTCTGTATTTTTTAGTATGCCAAACGCTCAGCCAACCATTCCATTGTTTTGTAATTTTTTATTTTATTTACTCTTAGGCCTACTAGGCCTTATGCTGATTACAGTTAGGCAATATCATTCATTGGCCGAAATTGTTAACTATTCCTTCAATATTATTTAGTATTAACTGCTGATGTTTAAAGTATTTTTTTTTAATTAGGTAAAACAGAATGCTGCGTTTTATTGTGTTATCGCTGGCTGTTGTAGCCACCCTAGCAAGTCCTTTTGTACATCAGTTGGACGAAGAATGGGACATGTGGAAAGCAACGCATAAGAAAGTATATGAGCAAGGGGAAGAACAAGTGAGGCGGTTAATTTGGGAAGAAAATCTTGAAAAAGTTGCCAAGCATAACTTGGAACATTCCATGGGGAAACACTCATATAGGCTAGGCATGAACAAATATGCTGATATGGTAAGTCATTAGCCTTCATTTATAAACTATATATTAAAATTGTATACATCATCTTTTGCCTTAAATTATCCTGCCACTCATCTCTTGTGAACTGGGCGTGTCTCAGTCCAGTGAGAGAAAAATGTGTATAACTGGGGAAATTTCCTCCCTTTCATAGGATCAGGATGTTTATAGAATTGTTGATATAGTAATAATATGAAGACACGACCAGAATTTATGTGCAGAGTATGCATGAAGAAAGAAGAGCCTGGGAAAAAATGCTTCACAGATAAAACAGGAATTTTTTGAGCAATAAATATAAAGAACTTCTATTGAAATTTCTTTTCATATTCAAATTACTTGACAATTCTAAACACACATCCTGGTTCAAAAATGCAAATTCCATTATTTCCTTAATAATGAAAAAAGTAAATATGCATTCATAGAATAATTAATTTTCAATGGAAGCTTGATCATTGTGTTTTTTAAACAAAGCAATCTGAAAGAAAAGCCAATCAACAGTACAATAATACAACAGCAATGAACTTGCATATGGAAAGAAGTACAAGATATACAGTACAAAAAAAAACAAAAATTTTTGCATTCAACAATACCAAAAAGTATATCGACTAGAGAGTAAAACATAAAGGATTATGTATTTTTTTTGTAAATCAATAACCATATTATAATTATATTATAATAAAGTCTTTGAAATGAAGAGCCCTCATAGCAGTACGCTAAATAAATCAACTCGCAACAATCCCCAAAAATAAATTTGAACAGTATTATATTATGTAAACCTAGTAGAGGTACTGAGAATACTGCACTACAGTAGATACAATGGATAATACTCAGTATTAGTGTCACATGATTAAACCACTTTCGTCACATGATTTTGAAACAAGGTCGCAGGAATTAATTGGTTGACGTATCCGTCCAACAATTGCAAGTATTTGAATGCATATAAATAGCAATCTTTGTTTAATATGCATTTTGTATGAAAAATAAAAAAAATGAAAGTTTAAATGGACACAATGCATTCAGTTGACTTCACATTCTTCAAAGCAAATTCCTGTTAGGTTACCATGGGTAGCATACAATAATATTGTTTTGTTGTTAAATCTATTATACCCTCATGACTCGGCAAAAAACACCTGAACACATGCATTTTATTGTGCTTACTGTTAAATATTGACATTGGATTGTATATCAAACATCATTTGCATGTTAAAAGAATTGAATTTTAAAATTTATTTTAATGCTATACAGATCAAATATACATGTTTTTAAAGTAGAGGCCATCTTGCACATTCATAATGTTGAGGAGCTACTGAATATTTCATCAAAAGCTTAACAAAACAATGCAAAAATAAAGTTGATTCTCAAAGTACTCTACATAACAAAAATATAATGTTTTGAGGCAAGTAAAAATGTGTATTTTCTTCCTCCCCTGTCATTTTTGGACTGTTACTTAATTAGGGAATTAACCAAAAAAATTTTACTTTTTTTTTAGAAAAACAAGGAATTTGTTGCCATTATGAATGGTTTCAAAAAGAGTAACAAGACGAAGAGTTCTGCTTCATCATTTTTGGCAGCAAGCTTTATCCAACTTCCAGATACAGTTGACTGGAGAGATAAGGGATACGTTACCCCCGTCAAAGACCAAGTAAGCAAATTTATGACATTTTGGAAATGCAAATGAATGCTGATCAGGTATTGATGTCCTATGATTATATATTAATTATAAAAAAATGTCTTAAACAGAAACTGTTATATAGTAAAGTTACATTCTTTCCGGAATGATAAACTAATAATAGAAATGGACCATATTATTTATTCTACTTTTTAAAATTTAAAACAATTTTGATTTTTAAATTAATTATTTATTTTTAAAAATTAATTTTACTTTATTTTTTAAAATTTTATTCTTTTTGTGCTGGTTTATTAATGACCAAACTGTTCTACAATTTTACAGACAGCAATCCAAGTGTCTCCATACTGGAGGAATTGATTGTAATTTGAATAACCTTGTTTGTTAGGCACTGACTAATATTAATACTCATTATTTATGTACTGAACACCTGTGCTGACCATTGCTAGTTCTGCTCTCTTAGGGTCAGTGTGGTTCTTGCTGGGCCTTCAGCTCTACTGGGTCACTAGAAGGTCAAACATTCAAGAAAACAGGGAAGCTCCCCGATCTAAGCGAACAGAACCTAGTGGACTGCTCAAAAGATCAGGGAAATGCTGGATGTGAGGGAGGTTATATGGATCAAGCGTTCGAATATGTGAAAGTAAACAATGGAATTGACTCAGAGGAATCCTACCCTTACGAAGCTATAGTAAGAATTTAGAACATATTAAACATGATAAAATAGGGTCCACAACATATCACTGGTTTACCCAGCATATGGAGAAAAGAAAAATTTGAAAGAAAACATTGTAATACTCATATGGAATTAAAAGAATATCTATACAGTTTTTAATATATAATATTTTATAATACCAGTAATATAATAAGATAACCTTATGCTACTAATATTAGTATACTGTGTATTTGTTTTAATTGATTTGATTTAAATTAAAAATTGATCAATTATTGTTGGCACTAGTTCAATCACACAGGCTACCCAAGTTACAAAATGTTGTTGTTCTTTAAATATTTTTTACTTACATTCAAATTTTTGCTTATATGTAAACTGATAGATCTGTAGTTAGTAAAATATGTAAAGTTATTTAAAAGCATTGTGATGTCTATTGTCAACAGGATGACACATGCCGATTCACGCCTAGCGGAGTGGCTGCTACTTGTACGGGTTACACTGATGTAACATCAGAGGATGAGGATGCTCTGAAGACGGCTTCAGCAACTGTTGGACCAATCTCTGTTGCCATTGATGCTAGTCACGAGTCTTTCCAGTTATACGAATCAGGTAAAAGCTTGGTTTGTATTAGCAATAAAAGCTTGGTTTACATTAGCAGACAAGCCATGGCTGTTGCCTCAGTCTCCCTATTGCAAATAATTGAGCTGCTTCAGACTGATTTGACATGGTACTAGAATTTATCTCATTCTAAACTTTGAAGAGGTCTTGTGTATTTTGTTACCTAAATGCACTTTTAAAGTTAATATACGAGGACAAAATTATTAATGCGGGGAATGCCCATGACATATTATTCCATCTTCACCAAGATGTCTTGAGCATAATGAGCAACTCCTGAAACGAAGACCTTAATAGCAAAATGATGATTTCTAGAATTTTAAAAGAATCTTCGAAAGATAAAGCTTCTTTATTTTGTGTACTGTATATATGACCAGTCCACATTTTGATTCTCAATTTTTGCAGGTGTTTATGATGAACCTGAGTGTAGTCAGGAACAGTTGGATCATGGTGTCCTTGTTGTAGGCTACGGTACTGATTCAACCTCTGGATCTGATTACTGGTTGGTGAAGAACAGGTAAACATTACCAAATCTTTTTTCTTGTGAATAGCGTTTAATTGAGATTTCAGGGAGACGGCGTGAAGTAAAAAGGTTTTCTGTAAATAGAATTTTAAAAAAGAGTAAAAGTTCATACTGTAAAATAATACCCTCACCTGTCCACCATCAGGAAAGATACCCTACAATCTGTCTTGTAAGAAAAAAAATATTGTATTTTCACAATACAATAAACTTGCACAAACCTTGGTGTAATATCAATTTTTTGATTTCCCCAACACTGATCTGTATATGTAGGGTATACTGCACAGAACCTTACACATGCAGATTTTATCAAGGAAAATTTGTGGACCTTCCATTTCACCAATTTTTTTTCCCTTTAATTTTCAATAAAATGCTAGAAATTAGTGTACTTATAGTTGATTGCCCTACCAGACGTGTAATAAATACTGAACACATCAGGTAGGGCGAACATCATTTCGTATTATTTCTCCTGACACAAAACGCCATCGGAACTGCCTACAGTTGCTTACAATAAAGAGATAGTTTCCGGAATCTTAGATGAGTAAATTTTTATTTACACATATCAAATTTGCTTATGCAGCAAGATCGCAAGAAGATGAAGAAGTCCTTGAACCTGACAAAAATAATAAAAAGAAAGATAATGTATGATAAATGTATGTATGATGGATTTTAAAAGGAGCTCACAGCGTACATGCACTCAATTACACCTTGACGGATGAATCCTGTTACTCATATGCACCGATATTTGCGATTTTAATCTAATAAGTTGTATTGTTGATTTATTTGCAGTTGGGGAACAACCTGGGGAATGGAAGGCTACATCAAGATGTCGCGAAACAAGAACAACCAATGTGGAATAGCAAGCTCAGCTAGCTTCCCTCTTGTATAAAATTTTCTAACAGTTTCCCTAGGTTTCTTAAATTCAATGGCTGTGTAATTTCTGGTGTTAACATAGTTTATAAATCTTTTCTTGCAACAATATACTATATATATATATATATATATATATATATCTATATATATTATACAACTTCTGTACTGTAAAAAAAATCTTTTTATACATCAAGGATATGTACCAACAAGGAACAAATAAAATGGACAAATCTTGGGTATTATTTTTCTTGTGTTGTGACTCGAATACTGAGAAGACAATGTTGATGTCAAATTTATTGCAGAATTACAATTATTAATGTGTTAATTGTGTGCGTATTGTATTTATATACCATGCACACAGCTTAACATGTTATAAATTGTTAGTGTTGTCAAATATTACTGTGTATACATAATATGAAAGTGTATAAATACTGTAATTTATTTCAGAGTTAAATGAGGAAATTCTATACATTTTTGACCTGAAATAATCATAAAATTTTTGATAAGATTATTTGTACACTGTATCATCATATTGTACTGTATATTTAATATATTGAGTGTTTTATATGTTAGAACCTATTTATTTCAAATATATTTTTTGCGGTACAGTATTTATTTAGTCCAGCCTGTTGTCAGTTTTTGATCCATTACTAGTCTCAGTAAATCATGCAGTATTTTTTCATCTAAGGTTCAATAAAGAATTATAGTAATTGTAAAGTATTTTTGCTGTTGGTGATGAGTTTGGAGTAAAAATTTAAGACATTGTTTTTTCATGTGATACAACATCATTTTATTTCATTCAAATTGCAATCAAAGTATGTACAACGCATGTGTTCACATAATTATGCATTTCACATGGAAATATAACAACAAACTATAGTATTGCATTGATCATGAGTTTAATTTTAAGGGGCTTTCAGATTTGACTCCATTACTCAAATATTATATTAAGCATACTAAACTACCATACAACATACTCATCAAATATACAAATGACAAATTCACAAAGAACAATTTTTTAAAGATTAAAAATTCCAATTCGAGACTGATTGAAGGAGTGACATTACATAGATGCATAATATTTGTTTACATACTCAAAGCATTTAACATCTCTAAATAACAAGCTTTTTAACCATCCCACAATAATTCTGACATTTACTGTCTTTGATCCAACACACTTGTAACTGCCTTTATTCTACTGTATTAATATTTAATAAAAAGTCATGCTCTTAAATCTAACATGAAAAATAAGATTTGAGGCTTAACTTGCAAGCACACAGATGATTTTTCCTACATATGAAATTATCCCTCGCACAAAACCTATATTACAACCAGACCTCTGCAAGGACCAAGGTTCCTATGCGGGCATTCATGAAATATTGCACTACTGTATTTGTGGTGATGTAAACATGGCAAAAAACGGAGGCAGGGAGACCTCAAGTGTTAATCCAGCAGTTACATTTTTATTGTTAAGCGCATTGAGGCTTTAGCATAATGCGCTATTTAGGCGAACATTATTATTTTTATTATTTTTTTATTATTATTAATCCTGGCATCAGGTTTTTTTGTTCTGCTTGTTTAGTGCCAATGATGAAAAGGTGTAGTAGCTGTGGCGGCTGTAGGATATATTTTCTGGGGGCCGAGCTGTCCGACAGGGGGACTAGAGTTCATGGGCCAGAGCTTGTGGAAGATTTTGAGAAGGTGTTCCCCTTCCAAACGAGATTTTTTTAAGAATGGGACCCTCTGGATGGCCAGAAATGGCACTCGGACTGTGACAGACATGTGTTGGCTTGGCATGGGCCTATTCTTATATTTTTTTTAGTCCAACTGCCCGACAAGCTCTGTTTGATTTTTTTTTGGGGGCCCCCTACATTAACTATGGATCGGAGCCAACAATGGTTTACTATACATAGTCTAGCTTCCGATAGAAGCTGCAAAAGGATTATCCTGTCAAGTATGTTTTTATCAAACCACAACACCATTATATGCTGTGTATGTAGAACCTTATCCAAACCACAGTATCAGGTATAAAATTGATGCTTTTTGGAGTGCAGATAAAGTTTTCTGTCCATACTACCCAGGAAAGTCCCTGGAGTCCAATCCATCACATTTAAGACAGTTAGTTGGACAACAAAAGTAAACAACAGTCCATAAATTTTTTCCTCTTATACAGTTTACTAGTCTTTTCAAGGGTAGGGGGTAATTGTCTTTCATTAGTTATGGCTTTAATATTTGTCAAAATAGAAAATTATTAAATAGGGCACGACGTCATATCCAGTTTTGCTTGGGTACGGATGTTCATAACGAACAGATATCTGGAAAGTCGCCTTTGCCCGTTTACAAAAAAAAACAGCGTATCCTAAAGGTTCCTTTGCTTGAAAGCATAGGAACCAAAAATGGGTCGGAGGGCCAAAGAGAATTTTTGATTTAACACCAAAGACCACTCGTATAAAGGTTGATGTAAAGGCCCAAGTATTTAAGGGTGTAACTATAGTGCACAGCGTTATCCGAGGGCAGCCAGGGGGGTGAGGGGGTGTTTCCTCCTCCCAAAACAAGATTTTTAAAGAAAAATTGCGATTTCTAGATGGCCGTCAATGTTCGATTCACCATTGTTATGTTCTGCTTGACTGATCAGACCCAGACGATGTGATTGCTGAGACAGATTTGGCTTGGTGTGGGCAGTACAGTACAGGGATGGGAAAACTGGGCCTATTTTTTTTTTGTACGACTGCCGGACGAGCTTTGGCCGATGTTGGGGGGGGGGTGGTGTGGCTTGACCAGACCGATGGAGGGACTTAAGCCCTGCCCTCCTCACCACTGGCGCCGCCCCTGGTTCAAAGCACGAATTTCAGTAGACCAAACCCAGTACCGTTACGATTTTCAATCGTGCGCGAAATCTACTCACGAAGTTTAGGGCTTGTAGAGTGCGTTTTGTCGTCGAGCGGAACGCATTTTTAATCTGAGTGGACTCTCTTCTGTTATTACACTCTTTACCGTCGGGTACATTTATATTACACAATGGCGCACCTTAAGAGGGCGTTAAACTAGATAAATCTGGAGGTACGGCTGGATGGAAATAAATAGTAATATATAATATAAATCAAGATAGTCGTGAATACTGTTAAATCATCAAAAAATATGATGTATATCAGGTCCTTTTATTTAACACTATATTTACCTCCCTTTTATCATTTGATTCATATATATATATATATTATTTATTTTTAAAAAAAGAACAGTAAACAAAACATTGTCAAGTATTTGGTAAGTTAAAATTTGTATCAAGTGTATGTCAAATGATACAAATAACAGTAGTAATAACAGGGATCCTGATGAACATATTTAATAATGCTTGTATAGATTTTAATATTAGTGGTCAAACTGCTTATCATCAAATTACATCAATTAGGAGAGTGTTCTAAAGAAATATTATATTTAAACACCTCCGCTTTTTTTAATACTTCTTGCATAATACACAATAC